GTGTGATACAAATACAGCCGAATGCAGCCGAATACGGCCGAATGCAGCGGAGTGTGCGCCCTCTCGAGCGCTGGTTGGGAGACAAGAAGACGTGTTCCGCTTCTAGGGCCGCGCGCCTCCTCGTACGAGACAAGGCGGCCCTGCTCGCGTAGCTTCGAGAGCGGCATCACCGCGAGCGGAAACTCGAGCGTCGTGACGCCCGTCACCGCCTGGCGGATGCGTCTGTCCTTCTCGGCGCTCTCTCGCTCAACCTAAGGTAAGGCAAGGCCAGGTCAACTTCTCCGCCGCACGAGGGGGTGGGGCAAGGGCCAGGCAGTCCCTCGCGACTCCATGTCTAGAAGACAGGAGCCCCGGCATCAAAGTGCAAGGCCCGGTGCGCGTGGGTGAGCGGTGTGTGTGTGTGTGTGTGTGTGCGTGTGTGTGTGTGTGTGTGTGTGTGTGTGTGTGTGTGTGTGTGTGTGTGTGTGTGTGTGTGTGTGTGTGTGTGTGTGTGTGTGTGTGTGTGTGTGAGTGAGGGGGGGGGGATCGCGCTCGACCTCCGCGAGGCGCAGCAACCGACGGAGATACACGCACCGCACGAAGGTCATCAGGAGGACGATGACAACGAGGGCGCAGACACTCGTGCCCGCGATCGCTGGCCACTGCTGCGGCACGCACCTGGGGAGATGTGTCAGGAGATATGGGGAGATATATCAGGAGATATGGGGAGATGTATCAGGAGATATGGGGAGATATGGGGAGATGTGGCCACTGCTGCGGCACGCACCTCCCGTTGCCCGCGCTCGGCTTGTGGTACGCGAAACGGCAAGGCTGGCACTCGGCAGCCGGCAAGCGCCTGTCATGGCGCGTAGGCGGACCATCCTAGATAACTCGATCACTGTTGACTTTGTGAGGGCGGCCGGCACGGCCGCACCACCCCTCTCACTGTACAAGGTGCGAGAGTGAGAGCGCCACGCAGAGAGGGTATCTCCGGACCTCACATAAGGCCTCCTCGAGCTGGCTAGAGGAGGTCGGTGGGAGGGAGAGGTG